CCCCAAAACCCCAAAACCCCAAAACCCCAAAACCCCATATATGTATATAAGTATTGAAATAGTATAATATAGAAATTATGGAAATCAAGAAAGCAACAATCAACGAGTCCAAAACTCAAGAAAAAAGAGGTAAGATCATTAGGAGTGATCACACATAGTAACATACGAAGACCACAAGATTACCAATGTACTTAGAAATGCCAGGGACTGAGTCTCCAATAATTTTAAAAACGAACAAGACCATAAAGCCGCCTATAAACACAGGAACAGATCTCAGAATATTTGCAAAAACCCGGATGAGCTCTTGTCAGGGATCTCTGACATCATCATCAACTCAAAAATGGGTGTAAACTTCACTGGCAAGGAGGATAAAGGTATTTTCATATTCTTGGAAATCAAGTTACTCAATGAACGATTAGAGGCTAAAATATCATTCAAATCTTGGTGAATTTATACCCGATAATTTCTCCTCACAAGACTTAGCTATTAACTTAATCGTTGATATAGTCGACTGGGGTGTACTAAGTAAATCAATCTTAAACAAGTTTGCTCCCGGCCATAGCATGCTAAACCATCAACTTGATCAAATGAAATCTCACCAAGCTAATTTTCAGAAGAAAATAGAGAAGAATAATTTCAAAAGGAGAGCAAAGTCGAAGAAAATTGCTAAAGTGGGAGAAGTAGCCCCAATTTGCTCTGGAAATGGCTTCCAGAAGCTTGTAGAGAAGAAACAAAAGAAGAGAGAGCAGATTTACTCTCATAATCCAGAACTGATGGTAAGGATACAGTAAAAATATTACTGAAATCTCTAATTACGAGCTAAAGTTTTGATTTAGAAGGTAGCTGAACTTCAAGACACACATGAAATGAATAAGCTACAGCTTGAAATGATCATGAATGGCATGAAACAAGATGAGAATGGTAATTACATTCTTCGGTCACATAATACGAAGAAGAATGAACATCAATTCAAGAAGGTCAAATCCAGATTCAGGAATTACCTTGGGTCTAAGTGAAGTTCTAGGAAGAAGCTCTGAAAAGCATCAAACTGTTCATCAGGAAAATCATCCCAAAGATCAAGTTTGTCATTATATTTAACACATAGTTAAATCAGAGGCACATCAGCATAAGTACGAGTCTTTCAAAGTTCCAAACAAAAAGAAGAGCAAATTTGCTGTTGAAATAGTATCGTTGAAGCATAATACTGACAAGAAGAGTAAGTCTGTACTATTACCGATCAATAGAGTCTCATAAATTAGCAGAAAATGGATTTTACCCAGGCAGCCCTATGGCCACTCAATCAAAGTAAGTTCTACTTAAAACGTATTTTCAATCAGCATAGAGCAAACCTTGGTTCCGTGTTGCAATCAAGCTATTGTCCCCCAGAAAAATTCCTTAAATCCAGGATTGAAGAACAAGGTAAGGAGCGCATTCAAACCTCATAGCTCTAACATTTGCAAAGAAAGAGGCTAAGATCTTTTCCCAAGAAGTACCCTTAACAACTGTAAGTATGAGCGACTAATTTGCATGTCTAATCTAGAAGTTTCCTCTAGGAATATCTATTCTTCACACTAATAGCTAAATTAGTCTAACTTAATTTTATTAGGGCATGGGAGATTCAGAGCAAGTTCTTTCATCAGAAAACACTCTTAAATAAGCCACGGTGCTGTAAAATTGAGGAAACCTCACACTTCTTGACCTGATTCACCCAATAATGGTTAGGATTTCAGGTGAAATAATTTGACCTCTCTAGAAAGGTTTCAACACAGAATATGACCTCTGGGGTTTTGGGGTTTTGGGGTTTTGGGGTTTTGGGG